TTCTGTCTTAGCTCAGGAAGGGATGGGGCTCCAGAGCAAACTACTTTATGCAGTAGCCAAATTGCTCGCTCACAACTTTCATGCCAGGAGCTCCCAAAGTAGGATTTTTGCTCACGGGACTCCGCGGCTTAGAGGGAGCATTCCCCCCCCCCTTCTTTTTGAGCCTTCGGGCACCTTTGTATTTCTGGAACACCATAGTAGCTGCAGCCACAGAATGGCTGCCATACAATGGCCACTGCAGGAGGCGGAGCCAGCTACACAACGGCTTCCACAACTTACCTTCAGTCACACAGATCCTTGTGTTCTAGCGGCAGCTGCCGCCCAGGCAGTGTTTTTAAAAATCTGCCCAGCCGTTCAAACCTCCAAACGCCTCGCTGGGCAAAAGACCCACCCGGCCCTCGCCCATGTTCTAAAAACCAGGGCTTTTTTGGTAGAAAAAGCCCAGCAGGAACTCATTAGCATAATAGGCCACACTCAACAGCAGAAACACCCCCAACAACACAGTTCATGGCCATATTAGGCCGCACCCCCATGTTACCAGAAGTGTGCTCATCCAGCCACACCCACCTTTTGCTTCTTATTCTGTTTACCTTGTTTGTTGTCAAAACCCAGGGCGTTTTTTTTTTTGTAGCAAGAACCCCTTTGCATGTTAGGCCACACACTCCTAATGTAGCCAATCCTAATAAGTTTCTGCTGTTGGGTGTGGCCTATTATGCTAAGGAGTTCCTGCTGGGCGTGGCCAACTTGGGAGCCAGCCGGAACTCCGTTCCTGTGCGTTCCTGCCCAAAAATAGCCCTGCTAAAAACACTTGGCGGGTGCCAGGAAAGGTGTTGGGAAGTGCTGTGGTGCCCGCGGGCACCCTGTTGGGGGACCCCTGTTATAGAACATTGGCTTGTTTGAAAGAAAGTCACTTGTTAGAGCGACTCTGCTTCTGGGTGAGAGGGGACGGGGTGGGCAGACGGAAGCACGACAGTGACAAACTCCCCAGCAGGATCTGGCGTTCAGATGCTTGGGCTGGGCCGCCGGTTCTGTTGTTCACCTGTGTGGGGGGTGGGACGAAGGGATAACTGGCATGGAGCCACTCTGGGGTCGCTGCAGCCAGTTAAGAGCCTTGGGCGAAGAGGTAGCCATCAACTGGGGGCGGTTTGATCTGCGTTACAAAGGTGCTCCGTGAAACCACCTTTTTTTGGTGGGTTTTCACCAGCGTCTGTTTGCTTGCTAACTGTTCCCCCGTAGTACCTGCAAGTGAGATGGGCCTTCCGGAAGATTTCTCGCTGGGGACTCAGCCCTTAGTCGTGGCACAGGGAAACCCCTTCTTTGAGCCTCCAGGTAAATAAAAAAAAGTCAGGGGTGGGGTGGGGTGAAGTGGGGGTACTAGATTCTCGGGACCAGCAATCGTGGAAGTCCGCGGTGAGAATGGAATTGGCAGAAATCACGCCCCCCCCCAAGGAAACGGAAGTGCCCATAAGTTTCTGGAACGTGGTCGGCTGCAGGCCACGGACAGGACGTGCCTTTTATAGCAGCCGTTTCCCTGCCGCCGTTCCGATTCCTGGTTGTTTGGGTTCAGGATGGCTGGGCGGTTTCCCATTATGTCAACCTGAGGAGGGGGTGGACCGAGACGTCATCTTCAAGCGAGGCTTAACTTTCAGAGAGCTTGTTGGTGTGAATCCAGGAACACAAAGAGCCTTCCCCCATCCCCCCCAAGTGCCTTTCTTGGTTACAGCTGCAGTTTCCGGTCCCAGAGGCCGAAAGTAGAGAACCGAAGTAGATGGGGAGGCACAGAGATGGTGAACAGAATGCGGAAGGTAGCTGTTGTAGATTTTCCGGGCTGTATGGCCGTGGTCTTGGCATTGTGGGACCTGACATTTCGCCAGCAGATGTGACTGGCATCCTCAGTGGTATCACACAGAAAGACGGAGTCCTCTCTGTGTCAAGGTGAGAAGAAAATGGTAGGCAGGTAATTTATTATCTACTCAGGAAGGTGGCGTAGAGCTGAGTCATTATATCGTAGGAGTTCCCCAGGCTGTGAGCATGCTAATGGAGCAGCTTTCCTGAGGAGGTTCTTTTGTATATGGATTGTTTCCTGAGGAGGTTTCCTGTTTCCTGAGGAGGTTCTTTTGCATGTGGATTGGCTGTTGAAATTCTAATCTAATCTGTAGTGCTATTGTCAGATGTAGAGCCTTTTGTATTTTTCAGGACGGGAAACCATGCCCTAAATTACCTGCCTACCATTCTTCTTCTCACCTTGACACAGAGAGTACTCCATCTTTCTGTGTTATACCTCTGAGGATGCCAGTCACAGCTGCTGGCGAAACGTCAGGTCCTACAGTGCCAAGACCACGGCTACACAGCCCGGGAAATCTACAACAGCTAATGAACTCCGGCCGTGAAAGCCTTCGACAACATACAGAATGGGGGGAGCATCAGTAGAATGTCCTCCCAGAACCCCTTGTGGTGTTCCACCCGCAGTATTCCTCTCACCCCTCCCACACCCTGACATTCTGCCCTCGGTGCCTCCCTTCCCATAAACGCCATCTTGTTTCCACGCATTTGCTAATTGCAGCCGATCTCTTCTCCATGACGTGAGGGGAAACAGTTTGTACCAAAGAGAACGGTGTCTGCACAAAGCCACAGACTCCAGTGGTGTGTTTTAACTACTTCTCTAGCTGTAGGTTTGACGTTTCCTTGCTGCTCCGGCACTCGGAAGTCTTGTTTTAGGTACCACGTAACCCGTGGAAGCTGCCCTGAAGAGAGTTTGGCTGAACAGTCCTGACATCTGACATCTTGGCTTCTGTCTGATCAAACTCTCTTTATGCCCAGCACCCAGCAAGATCCCCGAAGCGGAAGAGGCGCACTTTCCAGGAAGCACCGTCATGGGTTTCACGGACCTCCCAGGAGAACCGAAACCTCCAGAGGCCACGGCGTTGGCTCCAGTAGGTGAGAGAGCTCTGCAGAAGCCAGATTTGAAGTCCGCATGCAGTAAGAGTTGCCAGTCCCCGCTCTTCTGAGAGCTGTGTGTCACAGAAGTGAGCAACGGTTGCTGCACAGTGTGTGCATCGGGGCCGGCCCGAGGTTCTTTTGCACCCTAGGCGGGGCTACCTTCTGGCAGGCGCCCCCCCCACGCCCATTAATTATGGGGTTGCTAACAGTGTTCCCTCTAAGCTGCGGAGTCTTGTGAGCAAAAATCCTACTTTGTGAGCCACTGGCATTAAAGTTGTGAGCAGGTGATTTGGCTGCTGCATGAATTACTTTGCTCTGGAGCCGTCCTTCCTGAGCTAATATGAAAAATGTGTGAGCTATCTCACACTAACTCAGCTTAGAGGGAACACTGGTTGCCAACCTCCAGGCGGGGCCTGGAGAGAAGGAAGAGAGCTGGCAGGGTTTCGGCAAAGAAGAGGCCTCTTCTCCACTCCCAGCCTGCTCCCCCGCCCTTCCTCCAGTTTCTGATGGTCCCGCTGGTGAGGCGTCCCTGGAGACGCCGACGCCGGTCGGGACCGCTCTGCCACTGCCCCTGGGCATGGAGCCAGACTCAAAGGAAGCCACGCCGGCTGCAACGAGAGCCCCAGCCCCCAACTCACCAACGGAAGAGGAAGACTGCCTGGAGGGACCACAAGGAGCCGTCGGGGTGCTACCGGCCGGCCGCAGCTCGGCCGACGCACAAGGAAACTTGCAGCAGGGACTTTGGAGAGGTGGGAGGGGGGCGCACTCTCAGCTCCAAGCAGCCTGGAGGGGAGGGGTGAAGAAGGAGAGCGAGGAGCCGGATCCGTGCTCGGAGGAGACGTCTGGAAGGTGGTGGGGAGCGGGAAGGGGGCTCCGCTGCTTCTTTGGAAGACTGCAGTCTGCAGACCCCAGGAGGAGTGCATTCTCCCCCCCCCCCCCGCA